TCAAATGACATTTATGACAAAAATAATGGAATACCTTATTCCTAAATAATGGAAGTTATCCATTTGATTCATGTAACACCCTATCTTATAAACCCTAAATCAGAAGAATTAATAATTTTTTTTTTAGCTGAATTTTTTTTTAACCGATAATAATCTTTCCATTGTACATAATATTAATATACATAAATTTTCAATACTCATTCCTGCATTTCATCATTTTAAAAAGTACTAAGGGTAAACATTCATAATTACATATAGATAAAATACTAGTACAGTTCTCCAAAATATTAAGGGCAACATTGGGGATATTTCATACAGAGCAGCTAACTACATAAAAGAGTAAATACTACTCAGTACCATGTAGGTCTATATACTACAAAAGACTGCCTATAAAAGTTTAGATATGTTTATCCCAATACATGTTGCCATCATTGTGGCTCCCAGCTAATGAGTATGAGTAACATATTCATCGGGTGTGAAATCTGTGTCATCTCCCCTCTCTTCAAACAATGACCGATCAGATCCAACGAGTACCGCAAGTACAAGGAAATAAAGAAAACAGAAAGACAAGAAGGTGAGCAACAGTTCATACATCATTTTAAAATCAACATCATAAACATTCCCAAATCAATCAAATTCCAAATGATTGATGTTAATGATGCATGATCCTAATATGTTTTCTAAAATGTTTATGCATGCGGGCCCGAATCATTTCTCAAATCAGTACTGGGGTAGCCAGGAGTTGACACTACTAGGCATGGAAAATCCACCCACGGGATTGTTGAGACCCATGCTCAAATATAAACCCAGTAGCTCACTGACAATTGATATACGGTAAGAGCACGATCGGGTACGGGAGAGTTTGTACGGTGGGATCCCCGACAACAGGTAGCGAGCCTGGGTCTTTTGGGGCCTCCAACCACTACCCTTCCTATCCTCAAGTCCTCCCTCAGGGTCTCCCTATCGTATTCTCAGAGTCCATAATCTCTGATTCCCCAGATTTCACAAATCACCATTTTCAGATGAGTGTGTATGAGTCCCTAAGTGGTTTTTCTTATAAATTCACATTTTTCCAAAAATTTTGACAGAGTTTCCCCTGTAATACGGACTTCCCAAAAATTTTCAATCACCTGTTACAAGCAGAAAACTTGCAATACAGTTCAAAAAGGGTTCACAACCCATCATCCAATTCTTTCAATTTAATTTTCAATGAATTTTCTCATGAAAACCACCATGCATACAAATGCTCACTCAAAGACAATACATATCATAATAGAGTACCAAACATGTATTTTACATCATCATACACGTAAGCAATTCATTATCACTTTCACAACCAAGCATATAATGAAATCACAATTATCAATCATAACAAATTTAGACAAATTCAACAAATAAGGTCAAACAAGTTTATGATGTAATCCTTACTATATAGCCCACCCCTTACCTGATACGTTCACACTTATTCCTTTCAAAGCTTGATGTTGTGTTTCAACAAAATCTATATACGTAATAAAATGCTAGTTAGAATCTTATATTTCTATTATTCTATCTCATGAGAATTTAAATTCACTTTGTATTGCTAATCCATTTCTAATAATATTTTAAGCTCACATTCAGCTTACAATTAACTTAGAAAATTATCCTATTTTGTAGGCACTTAGAGTAGAAAGAATCCTAATAACAACTATGGACAATGTTCAGTATTTCGAAATTTTCTAGAGTTATATAAGTTGTTTTGGCATGAGATTTGAGCCAAAATTTCAATAACTTAATTACCTACAATATTGATGAGGAAAATAAATTCAAATACCCTATAGAATAGATGAAGTTTTCAGTTTTTAGTGGTTGTTTCCAACTAGGCTCAACTACAATAACACTCTGAACATGCCTTGGTAATTGGATTATAACTCTTGCTACACATAAGATATTAACATGAAATAAATTTCTAAATTTCGGGGATATAATTTCCTACAACTTTTATGAAGGAATCAAGTCCAAATTTCACACGTATCAATCTCAGTAATTCAAAAACCTAGGCTGTTGAAATAGGGCTACCTCTTAACGTCACAGCTAGAACACTTGATAGTAAAATGAGCATAACTTAAGCTATAAATATCCGTTTAATGTGAAAGTAGTTTCCAAATTTCGACAACTTAAAGAGCTACAACCTTTATGAAGATACCAATTCCTAATTCTGTTCACACAAGTCCCAAAAATTCAATGAATAGTACCTACGAATTATGACTCTTAAAGTTTTTAGCTTAACCACTTCTAATCCTCAATTTTAAACATTATTGTAGTATCCTAGGTGTAAAACCTACAATAACACTCTTCCTACTCCCATTCAAGCTCATTCAAGTGAGGATAAAAATAGAAAATGCACCGTTTAAAAAAATAAAACGGTAGAAATGTAGAGGAGATTGAGATAAACCAACTTACCTCTTGGAGCTTCTCAAGAAAATCAAGATTTTTCCTTCAAAATCAAGCTTGAAGGTAAGGAAAATTTTGAGAGAAAGAGAGAAACGATGAACCTACGAGAAAAAATCGCAGAACGACACTCTTTCTTTTAAAAGTAAAAAAATCTTAAAAGTCAAAAAGCTCATTCAGCGCATTTCTGATGCGCCCAGCGGATTATAGGTCGCAAGTAATAAGATTTCAAACCACAATCCGCTCAGCGCTTGATGCGCCCAATCTTAAAAGTCAAAAAGCTCATTCAACGCATTTCTGATGCGCCCAGCGGATTATAGGCCGCATGGAATAGAGATTTCAAACATAATCCGCTTAGCGCATTTCTGATGCGCCCAGCGGATTACATTACAAAAAATTTTATCTTTATTTTCTCCTTTTTACTCTAGCCAAGATTTGAACCCACAACCCCTAAGACTCCAACATCACTCCAAACCATATTAACCATCATATATTTCTTGTCAATTTATACACATAATAAACTTTTAATGTACCCACACTCAATGCATAAAAGAAAACAATAATTTCTAAATGTGACAATTAAAATTGTTAAGTCCATACTCAACGTTCAGGCAAACACACACGAGTATTTTCTAAAAATTCCCGAAAATAATAAATAATGTAATAAACATAAAACTCTACAGTTACTTTACCAAATTCCTAATAATTTAATTATTAAAATTTTGACAAAGATTTTGTCAAAATTTAACAAACCAGAGATATTGAGAATCAGGATGTTACAATTCATATAATGGAGCGATATATCCTAAGGAGCAAGGAGCATATCTTAACATAGATTTTCAGCCAAATTTTTTTTAAAATGTAGAATTTTTTCTACTATGCTAAAAGAGTTGCATTGTAATGGTATTATGTCTAACCAAAGCTAATGGAGGACCATTTATTAGACAACACATTGGGTCCTTGATAAAGTTCGTGACTAAGATGATAAAAGAAGGCTCTTTTACTTTGATGTATAAATTACTAGGATTTTTCTTCTTCCTTCTTATTCTTGTAAAAATTGTATAAATATATATTTTTCTTATATTTTTGTAGAGACATATTTAAATTAGATTTGGGTCTTATTAGGATGGTCAACCCATAGAGGAACTATAGAGAAAATCATGTAAGTCATGAACATGATGCATATGAAGCATGAAGTCTCATATCACTTGAGAAAAACAAAAAACATGCTTATTTTAGGCTAGAAGGTATGAAGTATAGTGTGCACACCCATTACCGGGTGACTTGAAGATTTGATGAAGTTAAACAATTTGTGTGTTAAACAAGATCTTATATCCTGTGTGTATGTAAATTAATCTTGATGTAAGTATTTTTTTTCTACAAGCTTGATCACATGTTTTATTTGACGAAAGTCGCTAAAAAAATAATTTTTCTAAAGAAAGATGTTTTAATTTGTTAAACTATGTTAATATGTTAAAATAATTATGGGTTTAATGGATTAAATAATCATTTTAATATGTTTAAATCATCTTAAGGCCAAAATTATGTGTGAGACATTGTTTTAATATGTTAAAACGAGGTTTTAATGGATTAAAATGTTATTGAAAAAATTTGAATGTTTCATAACTTACTTAATAAATTTTAATATATTAAAGTGCTCTTGACCATTAAAAGTATTTTTTTAGGTCTTATTGTTTTAAAAAGGTGTTAACAAATTATTGTTTTTTTTACAAGTAATTTTGGTTGAGTTGATTGAATTGATTAAACATTGTTTTAATAACTTAATAATGAACATTACAAATGAGTAGATTTTAAGGTGTTTTGGTTTTAATTAATTAAAACTACTTAATTTTTTTAAAATGTTTTAATTGATTAAAAAATCAATTTAATAGATTAATTCACTTTTAAGTGAAATTAACAAATTAGAATGAAAAATTAATTGATTAAAACAATTTTATCTATATAAAAATTTCTCACCATTTTTAATCAAATCTTTTAAGATATTTGTGCCCATTTTTATAAAAGATTGACATTCATTTTGATGATGAATCATCCAGTTTTCTTGAGTCATTTTCGTGATTATTCTTGTATTGAAATTTATAGTAGGATATTTCACCTAGGTCTATTATTATTTGTATCGTCATTCTACTTTTTAAATGAAATTATTTTTATATCTCTTATAATTGATTGTTATTGGTAATAACCCTGATTGAGATGTCTTTGTATTGATTGGTTTTGATTACTATTGTACGTAGGAAGTTGTTGTTCCAGTAGTAAAAAACACTATAAAGAGATACTCTACTTGATGTAACTTTATTATTTTAGTGGAATCTTGATTAGTTTAATTGAGGATTAAATTAATATATTTTTTTTTTATATTTTCTCTCTTTCTTTATCTACATTAATCATTGTGCTGAAATCTTGATGTTGTTGATTGCTACATTTAAATTTATCATAATACCATATTATTTTATCTTAAAATAGTATGTTACCATATTTTGTTTGTTTCATAATGATGCGAATAGGATGACTGGTCTTCTTAAGAAAATATTGGGTGCAGGTGGAAAAACATGGAGTTCAACAAGTAAGAGCCATGTTTGTTGTAACTAAGAAAACGAAGCCCAGCCCAGCCCAGCCAGAACATAAACACAACTCACAAATGTGTTCAGGAAACCTAAATAATACCCCTAGCTAGTCGTCACCCGTGTTTCTCTTTCTCTTCAATTCTGTTCTCTCTCAGTAGCTCTCCGCACCTTGCAGATCTCGATCTGCAACAATGGCTTCCAGAAAATCCGACAACCCTCACTCCGGTGACGGCGCCAGTCCCGGGTTTGCTCCTTTCACCTCTCTTTCTCATTCTCCTTTCCCTTTCGCGCTTCTATTCTCACTTTCCCCTTTCCCTGCAGGAAAATCTTCATCGGAGGGTTAGCCAAAGACACCACCCTAGGTCACAAAACCCCACAATTTCTTTGATTCATTAGTCTTCCTTGATTTGATTTGTTAATTTCCATCGCCATTTGTTAATTTTCTTCTATTTGTTTTGTGAATTTTGTTTGATTCATTTTGTTATTTTTCATCGTCATTTGTTAATTTCTAACAGAGACTTTTGTGAAGTACTTCGAGAAGTACGGCGAGATAACGGACTCTGTTATCATGAAGGACCGTCAAACGGGTCGACCCAGGGGCTTCGGGTTCATCACCTACGCGGATCCCTCCGTCGTTGACCAAGTAATTCAGGAGAACCACGTCATCAACGGGAAGCAGGTACCCATGTTCCTTCACACTTTTTCCGCGTTTTGAGCAAAGTAACCCACGGTTTTGATCCCTTCCCGTCGATTTAGTCCGTTCCTGTCATATTGCTCCTCCTAGGTAGAGATTAAGAGGACCATTCCCAAGGGTTCGTCGCAGGCTAATGACTTCAAAACCAAGAAGATCTTTGTCGGCGGTATTCCAACATCAGTATCAGAAGGTCCAATTCTCAGCACATACAATAATAATTATCTCCCTTTTTTATGTTTGTTATTTTAGAAAAAAAAATGGAGTGAAACCCTAATTTTGATCACAAGCGTTTATCGTTCTAGAATTTATACGGTAAATATTACGAGTATTATGCTTTGTTTGAATTCAAGTACCATAATGCAACGTTGGAGTAGAGTTTACTTTTGATTGTGTCTCGGAAAGAGGGATTGGGTTAAAAAAACACACATAGTCATCTGCCTGGGATTCGGGTTTACGTTATATATCTATTAGTTGTGATCATGTTGTTTCAGAAAAAAATAGTGTGAAACCCTAATTTTGATCACAGATGATCATCATACTATAATTTATGCACTGAAGATTACAAATGTTATTTTGGGTTTGAATTCACTTTTTTTAGTTCTCTTTATGGAAACACAATGTGAGAGTAGAGTTTGAACGTGCCGTGGAAAGAGGGAATGGGGTAAAACACGCAAATGTTGGAAATGTTATTAACAACAATAATAATCACTTTACTGTTTGTTCTTTGTTCCTATGTTATTTTTTGAAGAAAATAGAGATAATCCCTATTTTTTACCATAAGGAATTCAGCTTGTGACAAAATGTCTCCTCATAAACAAATGATAGCCATATCAGAATTTAAGCACTTGGCACTCTGTTCTCTTGAAAAACAATGGATGTGAATGTTTTGATTCATTTATTTGTGTTTTTTAGGGCCTAGGGTGAGAATTTTACTTTGAGGAGTGATGACGTGTCTGGTGTGAAATTTAAATTTGATGAACAGGGTGTTTACATGATTGTTGGATCTATGATCTAGTTATGTGTTTTTGATGTGTATATTTGGTGTGTGGATTGCAGATGAGTTCAAGAACTTTTTCTCTAAGTATGGGAAGGTGGTGGAGCATGAAATTATACGAGACCACACCACAAAGCGTTCCCGGGGATTTGGATTTATAGTTTTTGACAGTGAAAAGGTTGTGGATAATATTTTGGCGGATGGGAACATGGTTGATATGGCTGGTACCCAGGTGAGCTGTGTTTGGTTCTTTAGGATGTTTGATGTGTTTGTAACCGGCAATGCTAGTTGTGAAGAGGTGGTATGTTTCAACAGAAAGAGATTTGGTTATGAAAGAATTTTGCTTCCTGATAATGTATTGTGTGTGAATGCATGTGTTTGTTTCTAAATTATTGGTATTGCTGGACTTATAGAGTAAGGTTACTGCAGGTTTATTTTTTCTCCATGCAACCCAGGCAAAATAAAATTGTTCTTATAAATGAACCTAGGTTGACTCACTTCTTTGTTGTAGGTTGAGATCAAGAAGGCTGAACCAAAGAAATCCTCAAACCCAGCTTCTCTTGCTCCATTTGCTAGTGACACTAGGGCACGTTCTTACAATGATGGTTTCAGTGGATTTGGCGATTCTTATGGAAGTTTTGGCGGTAGCGGGTATGGTCCTGGTTCTTATAGATCAATTGGAGGGTTTGGGGGTAGGCTTGGAGATTATGGTGGGTATGGGGCTGGAGATGACTTTGGTGGTAGTTTTGGTGGTTATGCTGGTGGCTATGCTGGTTTTCGAGGAGAATCATCATTTGGCTACTCTGGTCGCTATGGATCTTACATGGGTGGCCTTGGTGCTGGTTATGGTGGCAGTGGGTTAGGTGCATATGGACGAGGTGCTGGGGGCTATGGAAGCTATGGTGGTCCAGGTGCTGGTGGGGGTTATGAATCTGGCCCGGGTGCTGGTTATGGCGGAGCTGGAGGTGGAGTCTATCCCAGTAGGGGAAGCTATGGTGGCAGTAGTCGTTACCATCCTTACACAAGATAGTTTGATTACTAAGCTTTGCAGTAGAATTTGCATGCAGGTTTAACCTTTTTCTAGATACAAGGCACTCACTGCAGGTGACCACTTTCTAGAAGTCAGAAGAATCACTAGCATGTCTGTTTTATCTAATGCTTAGACAACCGAAGGTAGAAACAACATCAGTCTAGAGCTTCCTGAGCATCATCAATCTAGAGATTCCCATCAGATATCCGCCTATATGATTTTAGATAGGCACATTGTGCTTTATGTGATATTCAGATGTTTGCAAGTTAGTCTGTCACAATTCTGGATATGATATTTAGTTAGATTCGTGGTGGAGTTGTGTGATTGTGTATTGTTATAGGGTCATACTTATTAGAAATTTGTTTGAAAGAGTACTTATTCTCCATCTTTCCTGAAGTTATGTTTGGCTAGCCTATGTTAAAGATGTTGACTAAACCTTTTCAGGTTAAACTAGTTACATGTCTAGTTAGATCATATCCATGAGATAGATCTTAATTAGTCTCAACAGGTTTCTCATGGCACTCTTCTTAAGGGCTGTTTTGACAGCATTCCATGTTAGCACTTGTAAATTGGATCATAGAGAGGCAGATTACTGATCTGAACTCTTATTCTAAGACCCTTAAGATTTTAGTATTTAGCATCCGATGGTAGATATTTTCTCCATACATGGGGAGTTAAATTCAGCAACACATGAAGAGCTAATAGGATGCACTGAAATAAAACTTTGCAAAATTAACTACTTTTAAACTTCACAAGAATAATAGTTAAGTTTATTTAATATTCTTGTTTTTCATACAATAAACGATTACTTTTTTCTAAATTATTCTCAATTATTTTTACTGGTGGTTGTGCTTGGGATTGAAGATAAGGTTAATTTTGAAATAATAGCATTAGATAGGATTGATGAAATTGAAATTTGTTTATATTGAAGTCCAGAAAATATAACCCTGTCATGGCTTATATTTGAGTCCATAGTAGTACTCCCTCCATTTGTTTTGCCTTGGACGGTGTCTAGGGAGCTGTGTCAAGAAAATATATTTTTAGATCTATTTTTAAGTTATACACACAGCTTCTTTGTTTGAATTTATTATTACTATGATTATGGATGATGCTACTAACTACTATTCCAGATTTGCTGTTTTTCTCATAGCCCTCTTCAACCCTTTAACACATACCCTTTCAACCTGGAATACGGTCAGCTCTAAGAATTACTCTTGATTTTATGAAATTCCTCTTAAAGCCAGATCGCTGATACCAAATTTGTTTATTCATTCTTAAAATGTGTTGTGGAGTTAGAGGCTACCACTAGAGCTTGGTGTTCTTGGAAGCTGTTGGATTGGCTGTGGCGATTTCCAGTATTTGTTTAGAATGTGGATCTCTCTCCCGCTCTCATTTTCCCCTTTTATAATGTTTTGTAATTAAATTGCGTGTATAAGACAATTGAGAAACTGTTTGTATTCTTATAAAAAAAGTTGGAACTGATTGATGGAGGATGACGGTCAGCATTTTCTATCTTTTATTAAACTTATAGGTGGCCACAGATTATTTTTTTAGTTTGGATGTAGTTAAAAAAGTTTTATTTTGAATTACAAATAGGATTACATAGTTTTCAATGAAAGAGTTAATTAATTATTAAAGTATTTTCCATAAGATTGTCAAAATAGATTTAGGTTCATAATTAAATCAAGTCTATTTCATGACTCAAGTTAATCTAGTATATAGGGTAATAATAAGTTGCCTGATTTATAAAATCATAATTCTTTCTCAGACTCAATTTTATAAATAATATATTAAAAAAAATATTCAAATAAAAGGTTTTAAGTTTATTTCCTTAATTAGATTTGTTATACACAAAATGTAATAATAAAAAATAAATTTGTATAATATAATATTTTTTTTCTCATTTTTTTTCTATGTCCTCATTAATGCTTATTTTCTTATTTCTCTCCCCTCTTTTGTTCGGAGGATTATGAAAAGGACCTGTCTTGATTTCGTTTGTTTTTTTCTCAAAAAATGAGTAAGGTGAGTTAATCATATATAGATAAGATGTACTACATATTTACTTTTTATAAGATGGAATACATATTTATTTTTGTCGAAGGGTGGTAGATGAGTCTGTTTATCAATATTTTTTTTTATATAAATAATTATTAAATTTTTATTTATTAATTAATATTTTATTAGATAAGTTAAAAAATTTGTTATATTTGCATGTTAGAGTAATTAATTATAATAATAATTTTAAATTTAGTTTATTAATATTTATAATTTAAATTATAATATTATATTATATTTATATATTTTAATAATATGACATAAAAAATATATAATATATTTAATTATAATTTTTTATAATTTTAATATATAAATATATTTTTTAAGTGGATTAGGTCTGTTTTATCTTTTGCTTGGGTTAATGGATTAAGCGAGAAATGATATAATAAATTTTTATTATTTTTGGAAAATAAAATTATTAAAAATATTAAAATTATTCATAATTTTTATAATTTAATGTATTATACTTGAAAAAATTATTATATGATAATTGGGAGAGGAGAGAAAAATAAGATAAGGGAGACAGAAAAAAGAGAATAAGGAGAAAACAAGAGAGAAAAATTTGATGAACGATTCACTTGTTAAAAATAAATATCAAAACTCTAATAATGATTTATTTTAGGATTTAATAGTTAAAATTAATTAATAATTTAGATTAATAAAATATTAAAAAATTATATGATAAGAAAAAATAAGTTTTTAAATTTTATTTTAGAATTAAATGGATATTTTTTATAGTTTATATTTTAAATCATTAAATAAAAAATATTTTTATTAATATAATTTAAATTAAAAAAATATTTTAAATATTTTAAAAAAATTTATTAGCTCAAAATATATTTGTTAATCCGTTGACTTAAGGTTAGAATAAAGATTATAGTTTATATTAAAATATAAATTAAGTTGAATTATTCAATTTTTTTTAGTGGAATTAGATTGGGTTATCAGTTTTCAGTGTTCTAATTTCACATAAATGAAAATTATACTTGAAAAAGATGAGGACGGAGGATTATATGATTTCCATATAATTAAAGTGAAGAAAAATTAGAAAGTAAAAGTAGTTAATAAGTGAGTTTTACCTCAATATAAAAAAGGTGAGATAAAACTGGAATGTTACCTCTTGCAAAAAGAAAAAGAAAATTACCTATATATTAATATTCTGTGTTACAGGAAGTTTAGCCGGTGAAAAATTCCGAGAATCTGGTTCAATCTATTTAATATATATACCATGGCATTGATCAAGCAAGATTTACGAGGCATCCGAATAATAATTATTTTTAAATAAAAATAAAAATAATATATATATATATATATATATATATATATATATATATAAATTTGACAAAATTTCATTTATTCTAAAAATAAATATTAAAATAAATTTTTAATAATTATTTATTATAAAATTTAATGATTAAAATTAATTATTATTTTAAATTAATAAATTACTAAACATAATAGTAATAATAAAGAATAAGTTTTAAATTTTTATTTTAAAATTGAATAAATATATTATATTATAACTTATATATTAAATTATTATATCTTAAATAAAATTTAAAATTTTTAAAATATATTTTTAGTTTTAATTTTTATATGTGTTAATATTTTTTTAATTTAATAAATCAAAATTGATCTAACATATAATTAAATTATATTCAAATTTTTAATCTATTTTAAAATATAGACGAGTTTGAAACATTAATTTTATTGTTTTCTTAATGATTAGTAGGATAGACTAAGAACTAATTGGACACCTCTAAAATTTTAGCTAACTCGTGAAGAGAGGAGTAAGGGTTTATTAGAATTTGTAGTTTTACCGTTTTAATATAATAGTAATTTTAAAAAAATTAATGCTTGCCGAAATGTGTTGTAGTAATGTTTTTCAATCGTTTTCATAGTTTAATTTTTTAAAATTGAAATACAAGTTTTTCTATAATAATATTATTTAATTTGATAAAGAATTCACGTTTATGTTAAATATTTTTAGAATTATTTTTATGAAGAATTTAATAAAAACTTTCAGAATTTTAGTTTGGTATGTTTGATAAGTATTATATTAAAATAGATTTTACTAATTGATGTAATATTTTTAGTTTTTATAATGTTTAAAAATAAAATTATTTAAATATATTTTATTTTAATTTTCCTTCTTTCTTCTTAAAATAATTAAAATATTTTGTATTTTCTTTTAACTCATCAATCTTCTAACCTATTCAACTTCTTTTATCATTATATAAATCATTTTGTTAGAAAGCTGTAATCAAACTTTTTTCTCTCTAACATTTAATAAGACTATTTAATATTTATTAAAATAAAATAATTAATAAAAATCTATAATCAAACTAGTTTTTTTTAAACATTTTTTAAAACAATTTTAGCAAACAATACTTTTTTACCTTATTCTTAGAAACAGTTTTTTAAAATTAGTTTCTAAAATTAAAAAATAAAATTTTCGGAACCCTTTGCCTCATAAGGGAAAAAAACATTTTAATGAAAAAAAGGATAAATAATATTGATGGACAAAAGAAAATAATTTTAATTTATTAAGTTTAAAATATTTTTTTTATATTTTTTAAATTCTCAACATTATGCATGATTAGAATTTCTACTTATTTTTATTTTGATAATTTGAATAAATTTATTTACAAATATTTTAGGAAGATATAAATAAAATTAACTTATATAAGTTTATATCAGATTTTGTCAATCAAAACGACTTTATGATTCTATGAATCAAGTGGATAATTTTAATAAATTAATCTGACTTATATTTTTAAATGAATCATATTTTTTTTGTTTAACTTAAAATGGATTAAGAGATCAAATTTAGTCAGATTAAAAATAAAAAATAATAATATTAATGTATCTATATAAAAATAAATAATTAAAAATATTAAAATAATAATATTAAATATATTTTTAAAATTTAAATTATATTAATAAAATTAATTTATATTTTAAATATAATATTTTAATATATAATTATAAGAGAAAAAAATTATTTATAAAAAAATTAATTTTTATTATTATTATTATTATTATTAATTTATTGATATAAAATAATAATTGATCTTAATTATTTCTGGATATAATAAATAAATATTAAAGGTTTTTTTTATATTTATTTTTATAATAAGTAAATTTCTTATTAAATTAAATTAATTTATAATATATATATATATATATATATATATATAATAAAACAATAATAATAATATTATTATTTTTATTTATAAAATTAATCAATAAAGTAGTCCCACTTAAATTATAACCGGGAAAAATAATTTATAAGATAGTCTCATCTAGATTATAATCTAAATAGATTAGAGAAAAATAGATTTAAGGTGACAAATTATTTTAATTTAACCTAATTTTTTTCCTAAGTGTATTAGAGGGTAGACTAAATTTATTTTCACAGTCTAACTTTCACACAAGTTTAGTTGATTAGAAGGTTAATGGAAAAGTTAATTCCATCATATATATATATATATATATATATATATACTTTTATTAATAAAATAATAGATTTGAACATTCTAGAAAGAATTGGATGCGACAATAAAAGAAAAAGGTGAAAATAAAAATAAAAATAGTTCCCACTATGTTTCTCCCACGTTAACACTTGCGACAATAAAAGAAAAAGGTGAAAATAAAAATAAAAATAGTTCCCACTATGTTTCTCCCACGTTAACACTGTATTTGTGTAAGAGTGGAATAGCAATTGCCAAAAGACCTTTAAATAGGTAGAAGTCCAACCTTCACACTACCATTTCCCTCCTTTGTATCTTCTCTCGCAACCGCATGAATCCCTCACCTTCTCAACACTCCTCGTCGGAAGATGAAAATGACTCCTCCTCCTCCTCTTCCCAACCCCAACCCCAACCCCAACCCCAACCCCAGCCCCAACCCCAGCCCCAGCCCCAGCCCCAGCCCCAGCCCCAACCCCAGCCCCAACCCCAACCGCAGCCCCAGCCCCAAAGCACTCTTACTCATACTCCAAAACCAAGCAAGAAGAAAAAGAACGGCGAGTCAAGCAGAAAACTCCTTACCGACTTTGACGCCGGGAAAGCGGCCGGGAGCCCGGCAGGAAACGCGGCCGGGAAAGTGGTTGGAAACGCGGTCGGCACTCCAACTCATACTCCAAAACTACTCAAGAAAAAGAGCCGCCAGTCAATTAGAAAACTCTTTACCGACTTCGACGCCGGGAACCAGACAGGAAACGCGGCCGGGAGCACGGTCGGGAACGTTCCTGGAAACGCGGCCGGAAGCACGGCAGTGAATGCTGCTGGAAACGTAGTCAGTGAAAAGCGCGCGTTCCAGCGCATATGGAGTAAGAGCGAAGAGAAGGAGCTGCTGAAAGCCCTGGCAGACTTTGTCACAGCCACGGGGATGGATCCGTACAGAGAGGTTCACGCCTTCCACGACTTTTTGAGAGAATCGAGTCCTTACTGTCGAGCGTGTTCGACGCTGCAGTTGAAGGAGAAAATACGGCGAATGAAAAAAAAGTTCACCAACGCTCTCAGAAGAAAGAGCAAGAGTCGATCCGACTTAGAGAGCCTCCGTCTGGGCCGCAAGGTCTGGGCCGAGAAACAGACTGTGCTCACTAGTGGTTGGGAGGGTGTGGAGGGCGTGGATGGTGACTGTAGTGTGCTTGAGAAAAGGATTTTAGAATGTGAAGGGGAGAAGATGATTAAAGCAGGGTTGATTAATGAGGAGATTTGGAAGCGCGGCATTGAGTGTTTGGAGGGGCGGAAGGTGGCGGAATTGGCCCACAAGTGGAAGAAGCTTCGTAAGGATGAGATGGAACTAGTTTCTGAACAAATTGTGGCCATTGCGGAGGTTCTGAAATCATCTGACTAATTCAACAAATAACTAGTTTTATTTCTTTTTTATAGGATTGGTGTATCATCTTTTTGTGCAGGATTGATGTATCCCTTTGTGCATGTTCTATGTACTGGTTTGGTTTCTTTTTGGTGCAGTTAAACTGGGATTAGTTTTTTTTTTTAACTGATTATAAGTGAGTTTGGATGAATTCTTTTTGGTATCCAACTTGATGTGATGAGAAGGATGGTTTGGTTGAATCTCAACTACCTCGGTGTTTGCTTTAATGGATGCTGGACCTGTTTTTTGATGGTGCATGGTTCCTTCTGACTTTGTTTGGGTGTTTGATTTTCTTGCTAAAAACGACTCACCTAAGGTGAGTTGCTGCATGTTTGGTTAGTTATAATGTTTTGTTAACCCATGTTATGGTAATCTTTTCAAGTCAATAACTAGTTATTACAGTTGCTTTGGTATAGTTAAATGCTGATTTGATCATATCCATGTTATAGTGTTTAGTCTGAACTGGTACTAGTGTCACTTTTCGTGCCAAAGGGTAGTTTTAAGAGCATTCCTTGTTACCAGTCATAACTTTTATCATAAGACTTCCAGTCTTGGTACTTATTACCAGCAACCTGAACCATCAATACTAGTGGGCCAAGTGAGACAGCCATGCCCAAAAGTGACAGAAGAAAACAAGCTGAATGAGTGACTATGCTTAATCACCAACTCGTGTTTTCTTTCAATTCTAAGATCCCATTTTCTGTTTTGTGCCTTTTCTTCTTTTCTACTTTTCTAATAATTACAAACTTTTAGGATGATCATAATTAGGAAAAAAACGACACTATATTAGAAGATTGCTGTGTAGCGAGGGCATGAATGGAATTTAGTATTCTATTTCTTGCAAAATTCCTTTCTCTTCTCCAAAACCCTGGAGCTTGATCTTTGTTCGAGAGGGTCATAACAGTTTCTTAGATTCAAGTGTTTAGCATTGGATGATTGATATATGTCCATAGATATAGATAAGGATTTCAGGGGAGTTAAAATTAGAAACTACATGATCCCAAATGGACATTCTATATTTTCTATGATAGACAACATTTGCTGGACCCTCTCTATCCCAGTCTTGTTTCATGAGGTCATTTGTGTGTAAATTATATTTGTGGATGTTGCAATCCGGTTTTTCTTTATCATTTCCTTACAGCTTCTTTCAATCCTAGAACCATGGGTATTAACGATGATTCAATTCTTAATGCCATAGCGATTGCTCTAGCAATCAAACCAAATTTGTTGATTCTTAAAACGAGTTATGGGGTTAGAGGATACTGTTCAAACGGTCAGATTTGTTGTTCTAAAGGATTCACATGGTCACACATAGTCGACCCCTTTTATGCCATCTATTTTGTAGATTGAGTTCTAAGTTTTGCATCGACTCCTCTAATTGAGAGTCGTATGAATGATTCAATATATTTGGGTGCACTTTGTCTTAAGTCTAATGTGTTAAATTTTATGATTTGTTATTGTTTTAGTTCATCATATTTAGTAAGACTCACGTTTAGATGACACAAATTTCCATACATTTCAAACTATTCAACTTTAAGACCCTGAAAGAAACTTTTAAAGTTATTTAATAATTAATAAATTTAATTCATTAACATTAGGTTATTGTTTGCTTTTTCCAGGGACCAACTTTCAAGATTCATAGATTTTTCATTTTAAATTGTTTTTAGTAATTTGAAAGTCTATTTTGAGTTTTTTTCCCATTTTTTTTATATCTAGTTTCTAACAAAACTAATTTCGTGAAGTAAAAAGTGAGCTACAAATTTTTTATTAAATTGTGTTTGTCTAAGCAATTTTTTTTATTTGTTTTTAATTCTTGAACTTGAAAATGATTCAAGAAAATTCTATAAAACTTTTGATTGAACATACCCTTTGAAGCAATTTATTAAAGTAAAATTTAAAAATAATAATTAAATTAGTAAAAGAAATTTCAAAATATAATAGAGATTAAGGATATATAAGCACAAAATGTTTAAGTATGTATTTAGTTCATTATGGTTTTGGTCTCCAAATTAAAAGAAAAAACAAAAAAATTCTTGATACTTGCAAAAGAAAATAATTTTAATCTTTAAATACTAAATTTGAAGAACTAAAATGATATTTTTGATATTTAAAGTTTAAGGTTAAAGATTTAGGGTCTAAAATTATTTTTACTCCTAATTTTAATGTTCATATACTAAAACATATTTTTTTCTCAATTTTAGGGAACTAAAACAAGGGATGGCAAAACGGGCTAGGCTCGGCGGGTCGGCCGCCGGCCACGTCATAATATGGCGGGGCGGGTTGGTGTTTTCAGCCCACCAACCCGCTTTGGCCCACTCCGCCAAGCCCGCCAACCCGTCGGGCTAACTCATGGAGACAGGCGAGCCGGCCATGACCGCCTAATTAATAAAAAAATAATTTTTTATTGTAATAAAATTAATTATAAAGATAATATATAAATTTAAAAATTTTAAAAAGAGAATTAAAAAATTTTCATTCTCATAGAAAATATTTTCCTTCCTTAAATATAACTTTCTCTCCTGTTCTCCTTTATTTATCCTAAGCACTGATTATATTTATCCTTATTACTTGAATTAAAGGTATAAGAATTACTCAACCAAGAATAATATGAAGTTTTATCAAATAAAAAAGATATAGGTATTTGAAATTTTTAATATAAAAAATATAAATTTTATAAGTTTAACGTTATTTATATATATATATATTTGTTATTATTTATTATTATGTAAATTTTATTATTGTTCTAAATTATAATTTCTTAAAATAATGTATTGATTTATATTATTAAATTGAAATAATATATATATATATATATATATTGAATTATTGACAAACAAATAATAATCTTATTATTAAATTTATTAAAAAAAATTATTTAAAAAAAATTATTTTTTCTAAATTATGGCGGGTCAGCCGCCGACCCGCTAACCCGCCTCTTGGCGGGGCGGACCAAGGTCTACAACCCGTCATGACTATATCGGGCCAGCCGCCTCGCCCGCTTTTGGCGGGCCAAAGGCGAGCGGGCCAAAACGGGTGGGTCGACCGTTTTGCCATCCCTAAAAACAAGGATCAAAATTACCTCCAATGACTAAAAATGTAATTTAACAAAAAATAAAAATAGAGATGAATCCTATTTTTTTCTCTACTTTAGGTATGTACAAATAATGCATAGGGGTAAGGATTTTTTTTATCAAATAACTAATTTTCGAATCATAATTAAAGAGAAAAAAACTAAGAGTTCTTGAAGTTAAAGGAGAAGATCTGAAAAAGAAAAATAAAATTTTAAAGAAAATATTTAAGATGGTTAATCTATTTATAGATTTGAAAAACAAGTTGTCATCCATAATTTGATAGTCAAATAGGAAAAATCTCACTAGTATTTTAATTTCTTACTTTTTGTTAGATTAATTAGGTATTTTTCAAATTTTCAGGTTGAATGGTTCTCTTTATTATTGTATATTTTTTCAGTTCTTAAAATATTAATAAATAAATAATCTTTAAAATTAACTTTTATTTTTACATTCATCCTTTCTTTATTTTAAATAGATCTCCATATATTATTATTAAAATATAATTTAGTTCTTACGTATATTAAATTTTATCATAATATTATTTTAATAATCAAAGTTAATCATTCTACCTAATTTTTACTTAGGTTCTTTATGTATTATTTTAGATTGAAATATTCGACCAACTTTCATTGTAAAATATTATTATTACTATAATTAAATCATTTATAGAGAAATTCTAAAACTACATTTCATTATTCTGAATAAGTTTACTTATGTTTAAGTCATTGAAATTTGAGATAGCTATAGTTTTCGTCCTACAAAATTTTCCCTCAAAATTCAAAATTTTAATCAATGAAGATTAAATTTGAAAATAAAAATAAAAATAGTATTTTTAGAATTTAAATTTTATGATTTAGATATACAATTTAATATTTACATTAAAGATTTATGGTTTGAAATTGTTTTAGTCCATTAAATTTCATAGTAAAAGACTAAAAGTATATTTTATTAATTTGAAGAGACTTAAAAACTTTTTAAAATTTAGAAACTAAATTTATAATAATTTAAAGTTGTATAAATTAAAAACGTAATTTAACCTTATAATGTTTTTATAACATAATATTTGTTTTGAATTTTACCAAAAAAAATTATTATTATTATTATTATTATTATTATTATTTTATCTATCTAGATTAGAATATTCTTCTAAATTACTACCTCTTTAATGAGTATTAATAGGATAATGTATTAACCATTGATAACACAATAAAGATAAATTATTAACATTAAATATATATCTTTATTACTTAAAATATATATGGTAAGAAATTTATAAATTACATTACTTTACCAGTTTTGAATCATCTATCAATTCGAGAGAAAAACACATATATTTCTTACAAATTTAAGCCTTAGAGTGTCTTCGCAAGTGAACCTCTCTATCATTTCAGGAGCAATTGCTCATGCTCACACAAATACTTATTTGTGATTAGGTCAAATTATTCAAGTTGTTTGTGGTCAAAGTCAACAAGTCCGAGCTATTGAGTTACCTTTTATTGATTTTACTTGTACCTTTTTTTTGGCAAGAATATTTTGGCACCCATCATGGGATCAGTGAAATATATATCAGGCCACATGTCGCCGCCGTCTGAAAGAAGGCGGTCGGAGCGACGCGATGGTTTTTTCGACCCTTTTGTTTTCGCGTTTTTATGGGTGGTTACAACGCCTTTAGGCTGTCCGATAACCGGGCTAGCCTAGGGGCGAGGTTTTCAAAAGGCGTCCCTGGGTTGTCCGATAACTGGGCTAACCCAAGGACTTGTTTATTTTGGGTTCTATGGAGTCGCCACCGATGTTTTTACCGGAAACATCGAAAAAGGTTTTTAAAAGGCGTTGGTTTTCGAAAACCAACTTTGGTCATTAGAACCAGAGTTGGGTAAGGGAGTTAGTTACGTGGTAAAGGAAGTATTA